TATTGAAAATCTCAAATTCAAATTTTAGATGAGTGAGGAGGGGTTTGGGAAGAATTATCCCATACTATATAAATCATTATTGGGTATACAAAAAAAAAAAAAAAAAGGGTTTAAGTTTTGTGCCCAATGCTTCAAAAAATTAATTTTCTTGAACTTGAATGTACCAAATTAGTGTGAGAAGTGTATCATTAAAATCACATGGGAAAAAAATTAGTTTTGAGTTGTATGAAAGTTAATCCAAAAATATCCTACATACTAAAGTCCAAAAAAAAAGTCATATAAGTTAGATTTTGTATTAAGATTTTTATTAGTGCGTTTCTTAAAAGCTAATTGCATCTAGCTAGCTAGGAGTGCTATATATTTTATGGTAAAAGTTGATTTTAATTGTCTATAACTTTCAGAGGAAAAGTAATATGAACAAACATGTATCAAACATATGCAAAAATACTCAGAAATATCAAGAGGCCGTAAAAACGCTGAGAAAATAATGTGATCCTGTTAACTTCAATTTAAAGTAACAATTACCATAGCATGACGTTGAGGATACTACGTCATGCTTTATATTAACGTGGTCCCATTGAAGTATAACTTTGAAAATCAAACAAAAAAAAATAATCTAACCCTATATCTTTATTTTATGAATTTTTTTATAAAAATATAAATTAAAAGTATAATAAATATATAAAATTAGTGTTTATCTACTTTACCTTTAAAAAAATTAAAAAGAAAAAAAGACAAAAATTACCTTACTGCATGTTTTAAAAATATTGTAGTTTAATATTTTTCAATAAAAATTTATTGAAATGACGTAATTTTAAGATAATTTTCTTCATAATTTTTAAAAGATAAAGTTGATAGATACTATTTTTTAAATATATTTTATTATAATAAATTTAAATTAAAAATAAACATTAATTTTTTAATTTATTATTTAACAATAAAAATAAAAATAATATCAATTTTTATATTTATTATATAAATTAACGATAAAAAAATACTTTTAAGGACACATATAAAAAAAAGAACTTTTATTTTAATTAATGAAATGATCACATCAGGAGCGGCATTGTCGGCGTTGTTAACTTCTGCACTAGTATTGTGGACCTGTGGTTGATTAATTAATTAAGGAAACAACATATGACCAATCTACTTCCTTGCTTCTACGTGATCTTGCAGAGGATAGACATTACAAGCAAGTGATGCCCATCTTTACCCGCCAAAAGTAGTATTAAAAAAATCAACACCATGGGGGACCAAATGTAACTAAAGAATCAGGCAAGAAACTGCCCACCCCTTATCCTGCCCTCTTCGATGTTTCAAAAACCTGGTAGTGATCCACAATTTTTTTTTTTTTAATCCTAATTTTTAGGACTGATCAATTAGGTCAGGGATGATAAAAATTTAAGAAAATGATTTTAAGATAATTTTTTTATATTATTTTTTTATATAATTTGATGTATC